AATTTTTATTGCATACACATAAACAGGATTAATAACGGAGGTTTGGTCTTGGCATTAGGTACGGTCAACTTTCTTAACATTTCGGGTATCGTGGGAGCACAGGTGCGGGCGGCGACAGCGAGGCAGACGGCGGGGGGCACGAGTCACACTCACCCTACTACATCATAACCTGTCTTCACACCATACCTTAACAGATACACCTCGTGAGCGTTATCTCTCTGCCTGCCATTTCCTTATATATGAGCGGCAGGACAGCAACAGTGTTCACCTTGGATGCTGCCTTTAGCAAGTTTTGTCACAGTAGAGGAGTCCATTGCTCACACGCCACCTCCAGGCATCGTCAACCTCTCCGGTACAACTTTCCTACTTACCTGTGTGAGCCTCATGGACGGGTATCTCACCCTGTTGCAACTCTCCGTCATGTCCCACCCATCCCAACCCCACAAATCTCGTCTTATTTGTGAAAATCCGCCTGTTACTGGATTCGTTGGCTGGCTATGTTGTTTATGTTCAAGCTGAAAAGAGTAATGTTGGTACAGTGTTTATTACAGACAACATATGCATCAAAATCACAACATAGAGTGGGCACCCATTATAACCTTTCCAGCGAGTCAAGGTTCCATAAATTTAATACTGGTTTTTCTTGGTCGTTTGTTAACCAATTCTTACATCAATAAACCACCAAAACGCTATTAACACGTAATAACTATATGATCATCAAATAAAATTCACACTCAATATGTGCCAGAAAAGGAGAATCCGAACCCAAATAAAGCCTACTTGATAACTGTGAACAACAAGCATCCAGTACTGACGACAACCTGAAGTTAGTTCCGACCCTCAGTCTTACCTGGCGGTCCAACACGAACACTTGCCTTCTAACACTCGACCTAATACTGCTCCGACGACTCTGTATCATGGTAAGTACATGCTAGTGGACGTTTCTAAGCGACTCATGAGGATAAAATGAGTTAAGCGAACGTAAAAACGGCAACAAAGTAAGATTCTACATAGGAGAAAGTGTGTTAGTGCGTCGTTCCGCTCGTGGGTGGGTGAGGGTCTTATAGCTTTCACTTCCACCGATTGAAAGGAAGAGTTATTTTAAGAACTCGACAATATGGATAATCTCATATTGTGTTAGATTGGCAAATACACTCAAGATGGGTGCCTCTGGTGGTCCCCCAAAACAATTTAATCAGTTCACAGTGTCGCAGCGAAGCGTTAAGACTTCAAGGTTGCTGATGAATCTGAATGAACAAGTGTTTGTTATGTGGTATTGTTCTACACCAGCATTGAAGATCCTTGTAATTTAATGAAGTTTCCTATATTTTTATACCGTAAATATCAAGTTAATATTTCCCTTGTGTATTGATCCTACAACGTTAATTTCACATATATGGAAGGACGATCCCAGGTTATGACGTCATACAGCTGTGACGTGATGAAGAGGGCGACTCATATAGGTATGATAATAATGGCATCCTTCACCTGAGCTGTTGTGTTGATGACATTCTCTCTATCTGACTCAGATCCGGTCTTATTTTTTTAATATCGAACCAGTGTTTGTATACAGTAGTACAGTATGTATAGTTTTAAAGAAAATATGAAGATAGTATCAATCGTTATCTTTACATAAGGAGAAATGGAAAGGTGTGTGTGTGTAAGTTGTCAAACAATGACCGCAAGAGCGAGGCTGTGACAGGACGCGGCCGCTTTTCACCAATGTTCCTCTCTGTTTCTCTCTATTATAAGTTATGTAAATATTTAATATGACTTGGATCAAAACAAGAAAGTAGTGTGAGTTAAGAAAACGTGTTGGTGGTTGTTGTGGACGTGGGCAGAGTCGTCCATATTTGGGAGAGGAAGAGGATTGTGGGTGTTTCAACCTTGATGCCGTTACGCCTGGCTGCTGACCTGCCCTGGCACCCACCTGTGTCTTGAGTTAATTAATTTAATAAGAAATACAAGGAAATCTGTACATAGACGCAGCAGCATATGTAAAAACCAGGACTTGATCTAGTAATATGTATCAATTATATACTTCATAAAGAACCCTATGAGAACCTTGAAGAATCAGTAGACGGTGTTAATAGTGAGAGGAGAACCTTCACTTGGCCACATAAGTGTCCAGAAGGATCTGTCAGTGGTGATGTAACACATACGAGGTCTCAACAACAGTTGTGTGGCCTTGGGTGTGTGATTGTAGGGTGTTGAAGCTTACAAGATTGTGTTAACACCCTAATTCTTTCTTGTTCACACCCTAATTCTAGCTAGTTAAAACCCTCATTGTCGCTCGTTAAGACCCTCATTGTCGCTTGTTAAGACCCTCATTGTCGCTCGTTAAGACCCTCATTAAGAAGTCTGTGACGGCTCTGAGATAACGTCACTCTATTCTAGAATATAATGTCCTACGACTGTGTTGACACTATTATATTGTGTATATGCTATTATGCATGGCGTATTGTACAGTGGTGCGTTGTGTTAGGCATAGTGAAATATTTTACGGCATGTTGCCCTCAACTTGTGTAAATAAGATATTTTGTGTAATTGTGTTTGAGCATGGCTGGTACTTGATACATTAAAAATTTTCTGTATGTATGCAGGTATTTTGGCAGCTTAATGTGGGAGTTGTTTAATATTAGTGCTAGGCTTGTAGTCCCTTAGGTTATGGAACTGTCAGTCACTCGCTGGTCTTGGGAGCAGGAGGATGTCTCAGTTTGTCGGTGGTGGATACCCTTTCAAATTGGGTTTAGTTGAGTATTATATTCAGTGCTGTTCTATTATTATTCATGGTGTGTAAAGTGCAGTCAATAATTGTGTTGTAAGGAGGTATATTGTTTATACACGGCGCCATTAGTAGTTGTTTGTTAAGGCTCGTGTTTATTCTTTATTCTCTTGATTTAATCTATCTTATGGACCCTACACACCTATGGTAAACTTTTGTTCTTTAATTTGTTTAAATCTTTCGTAATGTGTATAATCCCAAACCTTCACTCCTGAACTTTTGGGATAAAGAGAGGGCTGTGATTGAACCCATGATTAAGATGTGCTGAATTGCCACGTTTTGTTGTGCCATATGTGCCCTCATTAGTATATTAATCTTTAACGTAATTCAAGTTGATAAGTCATGGCATAACAATGTTTACTGTTAAGTGATGTACACACAGACAAAATGTAGATATAGTTCCTCTGTACAAAATATTGTATCGTCGCTACACACAAGTATATAACAATACTGTACATGCTATTCTTAATAGTCAAAGATATAGTGCACTTTATTTTGTATAACTTATAGACAGAGAGCGTGTCTCTGTTTTAGACAATGTTAGATTCTGTAGTATACAGTATAGTGTATGTATGTATTTATGTATGTATCTTCCTGTATACATAGTGTATGTATATTCCTGTGTATAATGTCTAGATGTTTGGAGTATGTTAATATGTGTAGATGAATATATGTGTTGAAATTTATTAACACTACGTGACTTGTGCAACAAAGTAACTTGTTTACCTGTTAACAGATGACACATGAATAATTAGTTTACCTGTTAACAGATGATACGGGCAGTATTGGTACTGGCAGTGGTGGCAGTGGTCTCTGGAGGACCCACGATGAAGGTCTATGAGAAGTCCGACTCTCACAAGTACCAGCAAGGTGAGTGAGTGAAGAGGGGCACTTAATTACTGTTAGGAATATTAAGGTAGTTTGAGGGACAATACTGTAACTTTTCTCCGCGTCAGAACACATATTACAACTTCGCGGTATTGTGGTGTAAAGTGTTTCACACACACACACCACAACCCCTACCCACACACACACACACACACACCACAACCCTACCCCCCACACACACACACACTACACACACACACACACACACCACACACACACACACACACACACACACACACACACACACACACACTACACACACACACACACACACATACTTACCCACACACACACACATGACTTGTGTGTTCACTCCGCGTCACTTAATGGTGACTGTGCTGAATTTTCTTGTTAAATGACCCCCTGTTATTTTATGGTACAGTCTGCGGAAATGTGTTCCTACACCCCCTGTGGTAACCCGTGTCTCCAAACAGCCAACCTAATTGACCTATAACAAACCTATCCACCAATCACGTCCGTTGTTTCACGACCAATAGGGGGGTGGTAGAAACAAATTTCCCTAAATGTATCACTTGTGTCATTGGTATATTTTCAGATTATGTCTACGCTACGTGTTAATTAGCCGGTAATTATTATTATTATTTTTACACACATAAATCGTCTATAACAGTGTCTCTCAAACTTGGGGCCATGGCCTCCAAGAGGGTCACGTCAAGATCTTAAGGGGGCCATGGCGGGCTAGTGTCAGTAGTATATGCTTGGAGAAAATGTGGAAACTGATTCAACTTTTTTTTTGTTACTTTATCTTGTTAGGGGAGATTTCTTTTTTGTCATTGTTTTGATATTTACATAGTATGGTGCAGCAGCTAGTATTTCATTCCCAATGGATTCGCTCAGATTGCACGATTCTAGTTCCTGTTCAGACGAATTCCTTGATCTCAGAACGATTCTGCTGCCAGAGACCTCTATGAAGAAAAATCTGACTGTATTCTGGTGCTCAATGTATCAGTCATATCCAAAAGTTAGTGAGATCGCACTTCGAGTCCTCTTGCCATGTTCTACTACTTATTTATATGAATCTGGTTTCTCCACCTTCTTCAAATAGAGAATAAAAGCCAAAATCAGTTACATGTGAACCCAGACATGAGATGTGTTTTATCAGTGACAACCTCGAATCAGTCGACTGACTGAAAAGAAACAATGCCATCCATCCCACTGAACTGTAACAAAATATGCATTCTGTTTGATGATTGAAAGCGTTAAAATAAAGGAAGAGAACCAAAACAGTTTATTTTGATCATTATTTGTGAGGGGCTTGGGAGAGAACTGAAGGGGGCCATGTTGAGTGTTCCTCATGGGGGGGATGGAGTGAAAAAGTTAGAGAAACACTGGTCAGTAAATATACAGTATACAGTAAATAACAATAAAGAGGCAGACCTTACCAGGAGGACATACAATTTTTAATCATTAATTTATAGTGTTCCGACCCCCAGTACTGGTGCCGGTGTCATCCACAGTCATCCCGCTAGATGACCTGCCCGTGTACCAGGTGAGTGTCGGGTTCGGCTTGGAAACGCCCACACCCGGCAAGTTCAAACCTGACGGACCCGTGAAGCTGATCACAAGTGAGTACCTCACCTCACTTTAAAACTTTTAAGATTTTTTAAACTTCTAAAACAAGTAAGTTTTTTGAGGTTGGTGCAGCCTGAAACCCTGAACCAGCCTCCGTCACTTAACTAAAATATCATCAAAGAGTTTTCTTATCAGTATAAGTAAGTCCAAGAACCCACGTGGGTTCGAATCCTGGCGGGTTGAGGTGTTGATTATATATATATATATATATATATATATATATATATATATATATATATATATATATATATATATATATATATATATATATATATATATTATATATATATAAAAAACATGTTGATTGTGTAGTAAGCGAGTAATGTTTTGAGGGAATTAATATTGCCTATGATAAATCATTAACTTGTTAAAGAAAAGTCAGTTGGTGTTGTATCATATTGTGACGCCTCTGTCCCCGGCGCGGCGAGGTCTTACAGGACTTCTTATACAGTTAATTATATTAATGTTTCTCTATATGGAGAGATGTGACCAGCAGTAACTTCCCTCCGCTACAGTTCACAGCATCAAGAACAAGAACAAGGGAAAGAGAGATCCCGATGCTGCCCTGATCGAGGAGGTCACGCCGGAGGAGTACAAGAAGCTCACCCAGCAGTAGACCCGCCCGTCCACCCAGCAGTAGACTCGCCCGCCCGTCCACCCAGCCGTAGACCCGTCCACCTGCCCACCCACCACTACATTTATATGCACCACCACCACAAACCTTTGTACTTACCTATTACTGCTGTAACTCCACAGACGACAACCACATCTTGCTACAGAACCACACACACACACACACACACACACTTTTCTCGAGTAATTTTCAGCCTAACTTAATATTTCACCATGACTCTATAAAACTGTTGTATGTGGTACATGTTATAATACGTATAAAGTTTGATGCTAACAACGTGAGAATGTAGAACAGTTCACTGTAGAAGCAACAATGTCATAACCGTGAGTCACTTAAAACGAATCTCAACCTCCAGACAGCGAGCGTTGTGGTTATCTTCTGTACAGTTTTGAACAAGAATATAAATGCCGTTGCTGCTGCCTTATCGACTCAGCCTAATATGAATTACTTGTTAGAATTCATTCTTTGTGTTTCTCTTTGGAATGTGATGGGAAATAGGGTGCTTTTAATCGTGGGGGTGAGGTGTGGGGAAGGTTAGTGCACAGAGGGGATCAGTTTTATAGGTCCAGAACTAACTACAATGGGATCACAACTATTAACTACAAAGGGATAACAACTCTATTAACTATAATAGGATCACAGCTCTATAAACTACAATGGGATCACAACTCTATTAACCATATTGGAATCATAACTATAATATGATCACAGATCTATTAACCCTTCACTATTAGACAGCAAAAGCGGAATTGGAAACCTTTTATCTCTATACTGTATATATTACATCGAAAATTATAAATATCCGAGACTGGCGAATGGTTGGAACTCTTACGAGTCAATGATTCGTTAAGTTAATCTAAAAATATTTTAACTCATTGTGAGTGATAAGTACAGATGATTGGACTGTCGAACTTTCACCATAGACCCACAAGCAACAAACTAATTTCTATGTAACACTAGTGAAGCGCCTCCTGGGTGTTATAAATAATAATATTGTCTTTCAGTACCTAAGAAAATCATTAACATTTTTATTCAAGTCAAAAATGCTCTTCTAACAACACATTGTGAGATATTAATCAAAGCTTTATATGGAAGACTTGTGCCATGAGTTGAGAATTTATTCTGTGATGTATAATACTTTAATAACTTTACTGTAACATGTGAAATAAATCTATAAATTATGAAATATTGTCTTGATTCCTGAGAGTAAAATGAACTCCACTTTGAGAAGCGGCCGTATATAAGGTGCGCGACTTGCATTACGTTATTATTGCCTCAGTAACTAAGGTTAGGGATGACGCGTATACAGGGGCTCATCTTATATTGTAAACATTCCACACGTCATTATCAATGAGGTATTTGTTATAATACTGTTTTAATTTGAGTCCATAGTATGTTTACTATTGCGAGTTTCTTTCTGTCGAATGTAAACAAACACAGGGTGCCATACTGCACAAAACCTGATGAGCCCCTGTAAACGTACTAGTGAAGGGAACTGTACACTATAAATACAACACTGTTGTACTTAAAGGCCCAGTGAAGGTGGTTGTGTTGTACAGTACAGTACAACATGCAGAGATGTGTGTGTGTGTGTGTGTGTCGGGGCTCAGGGAGTGGCAGACAGAGCGGGCTGAGACTAGATCCTGACCTTGAACACCCACCATGGTACAGTAACTACAGGAAGAGTTGTAGTGTCGTCTGGTTTGGTCTGTTCATGAATCTTGTGTTGTTAAACAATTATAAAGTAAGGTAGGTTAAGTGAGTCGCTTGTTGACCAAAATATTTTTACCCTTGGGTATTGCTGTCAGTGGCACTTTTGTTTTGTGTGCGATTAGTTTTAAGCTGTTGGAGAATATATTATATCACATTACAAGTATGTACATTGTACAGTAATATCGAATATAATTCCTCATGATCAGTATGATAAGGTTGATTTAGTAAACATTGTAGGAAGTGTTATAAGATTTGCTGTGTTTTAATGATTTGCTTTAAGCTGCACTTCATATCAAGTTGAGGCAGGAAGCGGGTAGGGTGGGTACGAAGGAGGGGCGTGTTTACATGTGGATGAGGAGTGACGCTCAGTAGCAATGTTCCAGTGTTTTCTCCTCAACTAAGGGCATCTCAAGCTAATTCGTGGAGAACCTGGTCACTTATCCTGATGAATCTAATGGTGCTTAGTGAGAGTATGTTTGAGTGGCCCGGTATAGTACTGGTGCACGGAGCTGACTAGCGGTTTCCTAAGAGACCTAACATAAAGGTAATCAACCACACGTAAACAAACTTCTGATGTTTAGTACCGAGTGTTCAGTGTCATAGTACCGAGTGTTCAGTGTCATAGTACCGAGTGTTCAGTGTCATAGTACCGAGTGTTCAGTGTCATAGTACCGAGTGTTCAGTGTCATAGTACCGAGTGTTCAGTGTCATAGTACCGAGTGTTCAGTGTCATAGTACCGAGTGTTTAGTGTCATAGTACCGAGTGTTCAGTGTCATAGTACCGAGTGTTCACAGTGTCATAGTACCATAGTACTGTTCAGTGTCATAGTACCGAGTGTTCAGTGTCATAGTACCGAGTGTTCAGTGTCATAGTACCGAGTGTTCAGTGTCATAGTACCGAGTGTTCAGTGTCATAGTACCGAGTGTTCAGTGTCATAGTACCGAGTGTTCAGTGTCATAGTACCGAGTGTTCAGTGTCATAGTACCGAGTGTTCAGTGTCATAGTACCGAGTGTTCAGTGTCATAGTACCGAGTGTTCAGTGTCATAGTTGTGTTAGTGTCATAGTACTGAGTGTTCAGTGTCATAGTACCGAGTGTTTAGTGTCATAGTACCGAGTGTTCAGTGTCATAGTACCGAGTGTTTAGTGTCATAGTACCGAGTGTTCAGTGTCATAGTACCGAGTGTTCAGTGTCATAGTACCGAGTGTATAGTGTCATAATACAAAGTGTTTAGTGTTAGCTATTTCATTAAGACTTCATTGTGTCACTTAATGTTAGCTATTTCATTAAGACTTCATTGTGTCACTTAATGTTAGCTATTTCATTAAGACTTCACTGTGTCACTTAGTATCACCTATGTCATTAAGACTTCACTGTGTCACTTAGTATCACCTATGTCATTAAGACTTCACTGTGTCACTTAATGTTAGCTATTTCATTAAGACTTCACTGTGTCACTTAATGTTAGCTATTTCATTAAGACTTCACTGTGTCACTTAATGTTAGCCATGTCATTAAGACTTCACTGTGTCACTTAATGTTAGCTATTTCATTAAGACTTCACTGTGTCACTTAATGTTAGCCATTTCATTAAGACTTCACTGTGTCACTTAATGTCACTTCATTGTGTCACTTAACGTTAGCCATTTCATTAAGACTTCACTGTGTCACTTAATGTTAGTTAGCTATTTCATTAAGACTTCACTGTGTCACTTAATGTTAGCCATTTCATTAAGACTTCACTGTGTCACTTAATGTTAGCTATTTCATTAAGACTTCACTGTGTCACTTAATGTTAGCCATTTCATTAAGACTTCACTGTGTCACTTAATGTTAGCCATTTCATTAAGACTTCATTGTGTCACTTAATGTTAGCTATTTCATTAAGACCACTGTGTCACTTAATGTTAGCTATTTCATTAAGACTTCACTGTGTCACTTAATGTTAGCCATTTCATTAAGACTTCACTGTGTCACTTAATGTTAGCTATTTCATTAAGACTTCACTGTGTCACTTAATGTTAGCTATTTCATTAAGACTTCACTGTGTCACTTAATGTTAGCCATTTCATTTAGACTTCACTGTGTCACTTAATGTTAGCTATTTCATTAAGACTTCACTGTGTCACTTAATGTTAGCTATTTCATTAAGACTTCACTGTGTCACTTAATGTTAGCTATGTCATTAAGACTTCACTGTGTCACTTAGTATCACCTATGTCATTAAGACTTCACTGTGTCACTTAGTATCACCTATGTCATTAAGACTTCACTGTGTCACTTAGTATCACCTATGTCATTAAGACTTCACTGTGTCACTTAGTATCACCTATTTCATTAAGACTTCACTGTGTCACTTAGTATCACCTATGTCATTAAGACTTCACTGTGTCACTTAGTATCACCTATGTCATTAAGACTTCACTGTGTCACTTAGTATCACCTATGTCATTAAGACTTCACTGTGTCACTTAGTATCACCTATGTCATTAAGACTTCACTGTGTCACTTAGTATCACCTATGTCATTAAGACTTCACTGTGTCACTTAGTATCACCTATGTCATTAAGACTTCACTGTGTCACTTAGTATCACCTATGTCATTAAGACTTCACTGTGTCACTTAGTATCACCTATGTCATTAAGACTTCACTGTGTCACTTAGTATCACCTATGTCATTAAGACTTCACTGTGTCACTTAGTATCACCTATGTCATTAAGACTTCACTGTGTCACTTAGTATCACCTATGTCATTAAGACTTCACTGTGTCACTTAGTATCACCTATGTCATTAAGACTTCACTGTGTCACTTAGTATCACCTATGTCATTAAGACTTCACTGTGTCACTTAGTATCACCTATGTCATTAAGACTTCACTGTGTCACTTAGTATCACCTATGTCATTAAGACTTCACTGTGTCACTTAGTATCACCTATGTCATTAAGACTTCACTGTGTCACTTAGTATCACCTATGTCATTAAGACTTCACTGTGTCACTGGGAAGATTCACCTAACAATTATAATTGTATAAACTCAAATATTTTGTGTTAACAGAAAGCTTAACACTGTTGTATCAACATGGTTCTTAGTTGTTTATCTCATGTTGACGATAAGAGATGAATCGTAGCTCATCTGTTTGTTATTAAGTCTTTAATATTGTGTTCATATGATCTTTATATAAAAACATATCATAATTATCAACGCCAATTTTTAAGTCTTATTTATAATATATGTTACACTCTGTAGGGATAAACGACAAATAGCAAAAGCTTTTATTAAGTTCTTTTAGCAGAAATTTCTGGCTGGTCATAGACAGTTGTGCGGTTAATCATGACATATAATTATATAACCTACTTCAGGTATAGTTGGACTTTTATAGTGCTAACCGTCGTCTTAAATGAAGGAGCAAATTTACCTTTCCGTTGTAGTAAATTTAATAGAATAAATTTAGAATTTCATGCACAATAGAAGGTCGTGTGGTATATGTTATCAGTATGATAAGGTGTGACGTGAGAGATAAGACTATCAGGTGGTGACTGCTAATACCACGTATGAGGGAACGATCTGGTGATAGTGAAGTGATCACATGTACCACTATTAGGTGAAGGTGACTCCTAATACCACGTATGAGGGAACGATCTGGTGATGGTGAAGTGATCACATGTACCACTATTAGGTGAAGGTGGCTCCTAATACCACGTATGAGGGAACGATCTGGTGATAGTGAAGTGATCAAGTGTTCAGAAAAGTGAGGAGTAATACAGTACTCGATTATACATAAGAGTTCATGTGTGTGTATGTAATTATTGAGCTCTTAATTTGTGTAGTGTAGATAAACACCTCGAGGACAGGTGGTGCTGTACAGTACCTGCAGGTATGGTGACGCCCAGGCCCAGATCGCTGATCAAAACAAACGGTGACAAGTATCTAGATGGCCTGGATGAGGTTGCCCAGCCGGAGATGTGTCGGGTCTTCCTGTGGTTGTATCAGGGAGGTAACCAGTATGTGGGGGAGTACCTGGTTACATTACCACGAGGAATGCAGTTTCTAAACAAGGACCAGAAGAAGATGCTCACCAACAAGGAACCAGTAACCAACATGGATATCTCGCTCCTGTATCGCCTTCTGCAGCATACGTGCGGCTTGGCCCCCGAAACGGACCGTATCTGGCACGACCCAGTGAGTGATAATGCTTGCAGTCTAGAACATTCATTATATCTAATTAAAGAAGAACGAAATAATATGAAACACATGACGGGAAAAATAAAGCAACAAATGTCTGACAATGAGTGCACAGAGAAAATAGATTGTTTACGAGTTCTCTGCTGTCGTATATTATGCGAAGCAGCCCGACGCTGTAACAGACATGATGAACTACCTCGCTGTACTGACGGGCTGGGAGCTAAACTTGAAGATATAAAGGGCGTCTCACCGGCCAAGTTTAGTCAATTGGCCAAGAAAGAGATAAAAAAAACGTTAGAAGACCAGCATAGTGGAGGACCGCTGGGTGGACAGTACCTGGAGCCTCGAATCAACTGTGAAGACGGTTTAGTGTCTCTGGGTGACCTCCTGAGGTGGGGACGCTCGGAAGCTGGTGAACTTCCCCCCGTCATCCTCGTGAGTGGTGATGCAGGTGCCGGCAAGACCTCACTCTGCCAGTAAGTCACACTTACACACGCATCTTGTCTAACTTTACTATATCCATAAGTAATGATACTTACTGTGCTAATAAATTAAGGAATATTTTAATCTAATATTAAAGTACTTACAAGTGCTAAACCATTTATCACTAACTTTACTCCACCCTTAAGTGTGTCAAATAATCATAATTTTAGTCTAATATTAAAGTACCTAAAAGTGCTAAAGCATATTGTCTGACACTCAGCCAGGAAGGACAGTCATAGAGCAGCACTTAGGAGCACCATTGTGTCTGACACTCAGTCAGGAAAAAGTCATAGACCTATTTAAACACAAATGAGTTGTTAATGATGTCCGCCGTTTGTTTAGATACTTGGAAGACTCGTGGAAAAGAGAAGAAGATAACATCAAGGACCTGCTGGAGTGTGACCTGCTCCTCCTCGTATACTGTCGGGACGTTACTACTGGTGACACTGTGCGACTGTTGCAGGAAGATTTCCTGCCTGAGACAACGGCGTACTGCGACCCTCACAGGATCACCACACTGCTGCAGGAACTGAAGGTCGTCTGGATACTTGATGGTCTGGAGGAAGCGACGGACGACGCTGCCACACTCATAAGAAAGATACTTAAAACACAGCCAAAGTCTCACACCCTCTTGTTGACCTCCCGGCCGGAACACAGCCTCGCGTTAACAAAAAAATACCCGGAGAAGAAAATTTCTAAACTGACTTTATGTGGCGTTGATCCTAAGGGGGCATTTAAGAAGTGGCTTCACCTGAATAACATTATAAAATGTGAGAAACGTGAAAAGGAATTAATAACAGAATATGAAACATTAGACAAAGAAGTACAAAAAGAACTACAAAATCCACTAAAGATGCAGCTGGTGCTACAGGACTGGGAGAACACATACAGAGACCTTCATCAAGGCTTTGACCTTAGTCGACTCTACCACAAGTTCATTATTGCTCAGAAAAAGTTACTCGTGAGTAAATTCACTAAAGGAAACGTACTTGAAAAAGAAGCAGAGATGAAAGTTGAAAAATGGATCCAGTTGTTGTATAACGTCGCCTTTGACATGACTCGCGGGCAGAGGGTCACAACCATCCCTGATTCTGTGTTGAGGGAACTTGAGAATAAGTGTGATGACCTTAAAATATCTTCATCATTCTGTTTATCTACGTTTCTTGCTTCAGTGGGAAACAGTAGATATTCCTTCTTTCACTCTACACAACAGCATTTTTTCGCTGCTCAATATGTAACTTATATTTTTAATACAAATGCTAATGTTTCATCAAAGGTTTGCCAGATGTTTGATATTTGTTCTTTAGATAATGTGAGGAAAAAATCCTTAGTTAACTTTTATGAAGTTTTTCTTCATCTGATCTTCATTCTTGGGAGCTCACTCTCGGACGACCAGCTGGAGCTGTTAATTAAACTGCTCTCTCATGCAATACTCGATAGTAATGGAAGTTCAAAGTGGTTTGAAGTTGTTCAAAAAGGATCTTATGATAACAGGATCACAGAGAGAATTAGTAGAGTAATACCCGAGGTTTGGTATGTCTGTGATTCTTGTGTTAAGGCTGCCAGGTGTTTGATGACGTGGACCAAACCGTCCCACATTGTTATAGAACTGGACAAAAATCCTCGGCACTCCCCCGAACTTGTTCCTCTGTTGCATAGTATCGCTGACCTAGACTGCCTGGTGTGGGTGGAGCTGTATCTGTCTTACCACCACAAGAAACTGAGTAACCAGACCACCTCAGATAAGTACCTTAAGATGCTGTGTTACAAGGACTCCCCTTGTGCAATTTTGGGATTTGAAGGTCATCTTAGTAATGAAGCATATGACTTGTTGAAACTGCCTACCTTTGCAGACTATTGTGATGCGTTAACACTGAAAGTCAAGTCAACTGAATCCCTGGGAACACTATGTGAAGCGATGAGAGATCTTCAGAGCCTCACAACTTTCCATCTAACTTTATCATTAAGATCTCCATCGTATATATCAGCTTGTCTTCCGGTAAAAACAGATCTTCACCTTCCATACATGACAGATGAAACAGTGGCAGACACAGCTAAGTTAATCAGCAGACTGAGCACTGTGTATAAGAGCATAACCGTCAGTAACATAACAGGAGCTGGTGCTAAACAGTTTATTATTATATTAAGAGAAAAAGGTGTTACTGTAGGATCATTTGTGCAAGAAATGAGGGACGAGAAGGGAGAATACTTGGTTTCCCTCTCTTATGGTTCTCTGCCTCTCAAGTATTCTGTCCTGGATTTTGTGTACTACTGGCTCAGCTGGGAGAACCATTACAAAGCTAGTCCACCTACAATGTAGAACTAGAGATAAATATACCTATAAGTGTAATCCTGTGTTACACACTATTGTTTGATATTTTAAAAGTACAGTCATTTAATTTATTATTTATGTGTTTTGTTGATAATAATTATATATAATGTAAATTCAAGTTTTTTTTAATGTAATAGACTAAATTTCTTTTCAATGCCATTTTGATTAGATCACAAAACAGGTAATGTTTTATTATCCGTATATAAGTATGTCTAAGCGTGTGTCGTTCTTATAAAGATTGTATGATGTATGTTTAAGTGTATATGATGAAACATGTTGATGTACCTTTGTATTTTTAGGAATGTAAGAAGGATCTGTCTGAAGGAAGGAATGGACAGGGGGAGGAGTAAGTTTAGGGCAGTGGTCCCAACCGGTGGTTCAGGTGCCCGCGGAACTATATAATGGACCCCGCAAAGATTTATTAGAAAATTTTTAGATAATTAATTTGTCAAAATGAAAATATGTAATAACTTTATACGACTTTAGAGAAAGAGAGGAACTCCGTTTGTCCCGAATCTGTCGGGTACAGGATGTGTGTATTTACCACAAACCGAGTCCAGAAAGAGAGCTAGCTAGCATGATCCAAGAGTAAATTTAAGAAGTATGTAACCGGTAACAGTTAAACAGTTAGAATTGTATAGAACTGCAAATAACTGCAATACTGTCTATGATTTTTTTTTTATTATCTTGAATGTCAATCCAAAGTTTTGGATTGACAAATGTGGCCCAGAGCCTAGAAAATGTCGGGGACCACTGCTTTTGGTTAGGTTAGGTAGCGGGGAGGATGAAGAGTTATCTAAAGGAGGGGAGAGGCAGGAAGAGGCTGCATGGGGAGTAGTTGCCGGAGCTATACGGGGAAGACGTTCACCGACCTAAACTGACGTACACTCGGGGGTTACATGGTGAACGTATACATGAGAGTCACATGTAACTCCCAGTCTGTGTCGTGGCGCCAGCTGAGATCAGGGACGGTGGGTCACTGTCACACGCCCTTCTGACTACCTCCCCAGCTGTGAGATTAGTGCCTAGGCTGTCCAGTGGTGTGTAAGGAAGTGAGATATTATGGAGGATGAGAGAGAGAATCATTTATATAATTGATCAATACTCAGCCTGTTGCTCCAAACACAACATCTATAAATAATAACAATGAACATTTACCTTAACCAGAGACGTTCAGTTAGTAATATTAGAGGCAGGAGAGAACACTAAGGCAAAGAGACTTAGATAATAGTTATATTATAGTGTGCCATTATCACCATACTCCTCCGCCAATACCATACTATACAGTCTTCCACCGCCACAATACTTTACTGCTCCACCATTACCATACTATACAGTGTTACACATCACCATACTATACAGTGTTCCTACATCACCATACTGTTCCACCATCACCATACTATACAGCACTCCTCTCAGTCACAGACCTCCATAAAATATCACGGTGTGAAGGTGTGGAACAACTTACCCCCACCCATCCCAGCAAAGACTACGCTCCCTTCCTTTAAATCATCTCTTAGAAAATATCTATTGTCTAAGTATTAATATTTCTTGTAATACCTACTATATTTACAGTACCTGCTTTTATTGTACCATTAAAACCGTTTTATCGGAAATTATCATGTAAATAGATAAGTAATTACCATTGCAATAAACATAATTGTCAACTAGACATAATCCTGACAGCTCTGTCCTCTTGTTCAATCTTAATACTGTACACCCCATGTTGTACTGCTCCCCCATTCTACTTATGTTTTTCAATTCCACTGTAATTTATGTATATATAAATATAAAAGATAAATAAAAAGACAATAAAATTAATAAATATTGAAGTGATAACCGTGGTAACATGTTCTTATTACCACCATGCTATTGTACTATTCCAGATGATACTAAATGTTACATAATACTTCCTAGAGGTAAATGTATAGTATATATCATGAGCCTAAATGAGAGCTCAGGTTCTCAACTGGCTCAGCCATGTTAATATTGTTATTATTGTCCACTCTGTATCAGTATTTTTCTGGCTAAATAAACCGTTTCAAGTCAATTCATTTCAATTCAATTCAGCTGTAACAATGTCAGGAGTTTCCCGCCACCTGAGAGTTCCCACCAATTTCGAGTCAATAGTATGGTGTTAGGTCTGTCTTCAGCCAATGAGGAGGCATATGAGGCATAACGTCATGATGCTGCCCCTCTGTGCCACCCACTTTGAAAAGCAGAATCTGTTGGAATTTTGTGTAGGGAGGTGTGGGACGTCTGTGGTGGCGACATGGCAGGTATTTTGGTGTAGTATTCTATTTGATAAATCCTTAAGTTCCCATTTGTTGTGAGATACATGGTCCCCGAGGAGCATAGGTTTATTGTTTTAAAGTGTAACAGTTAAACCCTAACATAAAGTATTCAATAAATACAGTAACCGTTAATAAGAGTCCTAATTCATCCCCCCCTTATTGAGAAAGAGTGATGTGTTATATATGTCTTGGTATTATGTAGTAATACGGTGAGTCCTATATACAATAACTATCCCATATTTCTCCTCTGTTTAAATTGTTGTATGTTAGCCCCACTGACCACAGCCTTCCTTCCCTCACCTCACAGCTCACACCGTCCCCACCATAAACAAATCCCTCAACCTCCCTCACTCCCTATCTCCTTCCCCTCTCACGAGTATAACGAGAAAAATAACAGGAAAAAGTAAAAAAAGAGTAAGTGAAAGAAGTAGGAATAAGTAAATATATAGAAAAAAAGAAAAAAATATAATTTGTTACACAGTGTTCCACCATATTATACAGTGTCCCACCACCACCATACAGTGTTCCACCATACTATACAGTGTTCTACCACCACAAATACAGTGTTCCACCATACTATACAGTGTTCCACCATGCAATACAGTGTTCCACCATACTATACAGTGTTCCACCATACTATACAGTGTTCTACCACCACAAATACAGTGTTCCACCATACTATACAGTGTTCCACCATACTATACAGTGTTCCACCATACTATACAGTGTTCCACCATATTATACAGTGTTCCACCACCACCATACAGTGTTCCACCACCACCACCATACAGTGTTCCACCATACTATACAGTGTTCTACCACCACAAATACAGTGTTCCACCATACTATACAGTGTTCCACCATACTATACATACAGTGTTCCACCATACTATACAGTGTTCCACCATATTATACAGTGTTCCACCATACTATACAGTGTTCCACCATACTATACAGTGTTCCACCACCACCATACAGTGTTCCACCATACTATACAATACAGTGTTCCACCACTACCATACAGTGTTCCACTATACTATACAGTGTTCCACCATCACGATAACATAGTGTTCCACCACCACCATACAGTGTTCCACCATACTATACAGTGTTTCACCATGCAATACAGTGTTCCACCATACTATACAGTGTTCTACCACCACCATGCAGTGTTCCACTATACTATACAATGTTCCACCATGCAATACAGTGTTCCACCATACTATACCGTGTTCCACCACCACCATACAGTGTTCCACCATACTATAAAGTGTTCATCCACCACCACCATACAGTGTTCCACCATACTATAAAGTGTTCATCCACCACCACCATACAGTGTTCCACCATCACCATACGAAACAGTGTTCCACCATCACAATAACATAGTGTTCCACCACCACCATACTATACAGTGTTCCTCCATAACCATACTATACAGAGTTCCACCATCACGATAACATAGTGTTCCACCATCTCCATACTAGACAGTGCTCCATTACCACCATACTATACAGTGTTCCACCATCACCACACTATACAGTGTTCCACCACCACCATACTATACAGTGTTCCACCACCACCAAACTGTTCCACCATCATCATACTATACAGTGTTCCACCATCACCATACAATACAGTATTCCACCACCATAGTGTTCCACCATCACCATACTATACAGTGTTCCACCACCACCATTCTGTGCCACCATCACCATACTCTTCCACCATCACCATACTGTTACACCATCCCCATATTATACAATGTTCTATCATCACCAAGCTATGCAGTGTTCCACCATCACCATACTGTTGCACCATCACCATACTGTTCTACCACGACCATAGTGTTCCACCACCAGCATACTGTTGCACCATTACCAAACTGTTCCACCATCACCATACTGTTGCACCATTACCAAACTGTTCCACCATCACCATACTGTTGCACCATTACCAAACTGTTCCACCATCACCATACTGTTCCACCATCACCATACTGTTCCACCACACTGTTAGTGCCAGGTATGCTTGAGATAAAACTACTTGCGTGTATTAAGTTTTCATTCAGGAAACGTAAAGAAGAAAACTGACATCTGGGTAACACAAAAATTATACAAGCACTGATACGTACTTCAGACTGTATGAATGTATGTCTGTTTATTTACGAATCTGTTTCTGTGTGTGCGTCAGTCCTAACAGTTGGTCAGACAACTTTACAGGTAATGACTTATAATGCCTCAACCTCAATCAACACTCCCTCTTCTGCTGCTTCCTCTGATGATGATGACTCGGCCGATTCCTCTGACTCGGTCGATTCCTCCGACTCGGCCGATTCCTCCGACTCGGCCGATTCCTCCGACTCGGCCGATTCCTCCGACTCGGCCGATTCCTCCGACTCGGCCGATTCCTCCGACTCGGCCGATTCCACCGACTCGGCCGATTCCACCGACTCGGCCGATTCCACCGACTCGGCCGATTCCACCGACTCGGCCGATTCCACCGACTCGGCCGACTTTACAACTTGTCTGCAACCATTGTATGAAAGAGGCATTAGTTATTATTAGGACAGGTTAGGAAGAAGATAATTCTTTAAAATATTAAATATTTTTCTTCTTTATCCTCTCTTTCTCTTTTACAATGTATCTTTTACTTTCTTTCTATCTTACCTTCTCTTTATCTTTCATCTTTTAGGTCTTTCTCTTTCTTTATCATCTCTCTTTCTCTCTCTCAGTTGATCATCACTGCTCCATAATGATTGATAATTTCTTATTTTATGTTCAAGATTGTAAAACTTTTTTTCTACAAATGACCTTAAATTTTTGTTCACAATCCAAGATTGTTAACGGGTCACATCAGCCTATAAACATCCACTTCACTTAGAGGAGAATTTCACAATAAGAAGATTCTCTGACTGACTGATTGACTGGCTCTCACAAACGCAGCTTCCCTGGTCATCACACCTGTCGATACTGCCTTACCTCTTGTAGATGTTATGGCGTGCATATTGGTCTCGGGAGACACCAGCGTCACAGGAGGCTGCCAGCACCACTACTATCGTCACCAGAAGACTAGCCACCATCCACCTGTCGGACACACCTGACCATTTAGTAAGCTAACCCTCTTACACACACACACCCACCACCCGGTGTCTCTATGACCACGTGAGGTCCTTCATATCAACACCTATGGACAAGTTACTGCACCAAGTAACCTCACACAGTAAGACAAGAGACCAGCCCGGGCCATCAACTGTAAACTATAATTTGTATGTTCATGTTCCTTTTCCTTTAGTAATTAAAGCTTTTGTTAAGTGATCCACCAACCCCATGTCCTTGTATGTAATAAGTCATTTCAGTCCAATGTATATTTTCAGCCATCGGGCTGCTGAACTTTTTCAACAAACCGTTAATTATTATTATTATTATTATTACACACGCACACATACTACTCTCCACCCTCCGACGGTGACTGGAGGAACTAGTGCTAAAAGGAAGACCTCACCTCATTTTGTCGTGTAGCAGGATGAGGTTGACTGTTAAACTGTACGAGTGAGTGTTCAAAAACTGCTTGCCGTCCTGTTGCTTGTGTAACTGGTCAGCAGAGTGGAGCTACAACAGTCACCACAATACTATACTCTTGCTGTGCTCTCCCAACTGACTGTATGACTGACACAACCCTCCTGCAGGCTTATATATGACATGGCAGCTGCCTCCCTCCCTCCCTCCTACCCAGTGCCCCCCGCCTGTGCCTGTCTCATATACTTTCGCTACTCTCCCTTAAAGTTCACTCCAGACATAAACTTCTACAGTAATCACGTGCAATACATCAACATACAGTTGGAAAAATACACGTTTTCCTAGCAATGTGTATTAAGGTCCCGTGATGGTAGTGATATATAATGAAAGTTAAGAGGTTCAGACACATTCAGTGTACCACCAGACCAGGGTTGGGAGCTAGTGACGCAGGGAGGTCATTGTTAACTAAGTGTGTGTAGGTGTTACTCTGTGACTGTCTGTGTTATTGTATGCCTGTGTGTGTTATTGTGTATTGATGTGTTTGAGTGTGTTACTGTATGTGCGTGTATGTGTTGTATGTGTGTTTCTTTGTGTTACTGTGTATGTGTTTGCGTTTCTGTGTTACTGTGTATGTGTTGTATGTGTGTTTCTTTGTGTTACTGTGTATGTGTTGTATGTGTTTCTCTGTGTTACTGTGTGTGTTTTGTATGTGTTTGTGTGTTACTGTGTATGTGTTGTATGTGTGTTTCTCTGTGTTACTGTGTGTGTTTTGTATGTGCTTGTGTTACTGTGTATGTGTTGTATGTGTGTTTCTCTGTGTTACTGTGTGTGTTTTGTATGTGTTTGTGTGTTACTGTGTATGTGTTTCACTCTGTTTCTGTGTTACTATGTATGTGTTGTAGGTGTTTGTGTTTCTCTGTTACTGTTGTATGTGTTTCAAGTCGTCAACAAACAGGAACTAAATCATTGGTCATCGACTTCCCTTTATAAGTACATGGCTGTGTAGGTCAAGTGTGAGCTGTGTTGCCCCGTGAAGGAGAACGATCAGTCGCTGTCTATGAAGGTGGGGCGAGGCTGTGTATGTATGTGAGACTATTGTTATTATTATTATTTATTTTTCAAGTTAATCATTAGTTGTTGCCTACATTTCATCAACACATTTTAAGCGTTTCCTGAACCAACAACTCTATACCTAACCTAACATAACCTTAAGTAATCCTAACTGTACCAAACTATCCTTAACCGAACTAGATGAGTATAACCTTAACCTTTACACAACATGGTCTCCTCACAACGCACATATAGAGAGAGAGAGAGAGAGAGAGACACACAGCAGGACGTGAATCAACCTTAATAATGGAGTTCATTATTGTCTGTACAGCTTGTTGTTGTGGCTGAGGAAGTAGGTTCATGTCGACAGCCAAGGTCAGGGACCCAGCCATAATGCTAGTAGATAATTCCTCATTGGACATAATGTTAGTAGATAAGTCCTCATTGAACATAATACAAGTAGCTCATTCCACATTGGACATAATGCTAGTAGATTCTTCCTCACTGGACATAATGTTAGTAGGTCATTGCTCATTGGACAAAATCTCACCACAATTATGTCAAGGTGATTATAAAGGAGCCTATAATGGTATATAACCCACTCTGTAAATCACTTGACAATACTGAGTGAGTGTCTGTGTTGACAAAGATTCCTACCGTGAACAATGTCATGTCAGGCTGCCTCTTAATTAACTCTTTGATCTAAATTAAGAAGCAAAACTTACATCTAAACTGTAATGAGACTTTACCTTCCAAAGAGTCTTAACATAAACGTTATAGAAGAGGATCCTTTGGGCACGCATACATGACGGAGATAGAACATGTACTCTACTCTGATGACGCTGAAAACACCGCTTCTTGTCCCAACACTGAGTCCGTTTAGTACTTGGATGGGTAACTGCCTGACCCTAACAACAGATGCTGCTGGTATAAAGACTCAACTGTAAGTAAGCATCTCATGTGTCTGTCATCTGTCCTTGGTCAAATCGACTAAATACCGTATAAATTATTATTATTAATTTATTTGCATACTACAAGTGTCCTAACGAGCGTGAGATGTACACAAGAATGGAAGTATGTGTTAATGTGCAAAAATTCCCCAGAAAACAGCCTTAACAGACTATACTGTACAGTATTATAGAGGTTTCTGGCCTTCTTGACATTGTTTTTTATATACACATTATACATTAATATTGTTACGACCTTCACAGCTTACCCAGCTTTCACCAGTGGCTAGGGTAGTATGTACAGAAAACAGTAGATATTTCACAAAAGTTGTCGAATTCCAACTGGCTGTCCCGCCAGTCCCCGGTAATTTCCAGACGATTGGTATCAGGGTACAGACAAACAACAAGTAAGTAGATTTCCACCAGGTCACAGAAACACACTTGGGCACTGTAGTCTTCTTTAAAAAGCACTGATTTTTCACAACACTGTTAACAGGGAAATGGCTTCACAGCTGAACTTCACACTTCGAATATATACTGTAGTCAGCACACTACCAGTGTACAATTCCTTAGTCTTTTCACTTTATGTTGTTCACAACAATTCCACAATACTTGCACAATATTTTTCTTCAGTTGTTCTTCTAGGCTTGTTCTTTCCAGTCTGAGCAGAAGCGATCGTCTGACTCGAGGTTCAAGCTTAGAAGCTCCAAAAATTGTTGGTAGCGAAAGGCAGAGCGGGGAAGATGACAGAGGAAGGAGCAGGAGGTTAGGAAGGGAATTGTAGTGGGAGAGATAGTGCCGTGGCTTTACACGACTGCGTTTATTTGGTTAGCGCATAGCGCACGTATTTGGTTTTGTCTGTGTTGGGTGTGTGATCCTCGGGCCACCACTCCTCCGGATTGTGTTAGTTCAAGTTTAGAAGCTCCAACAACTTTCCCTGAACACGAATTCGCAACCTTTCGATTTACAACAGGGACCAAGGGGGCTAGGAAGAGAGGCCAAACAACTTCCGCTTGCCCGGGAATCGAACCCGTGACACCTTGCTTGCGAGGCAAGAGCGTTCCGCTTCTACCTCAAGCGCCCCTTGACTCGAGGCCGCTCACTTCCGCTTATATATGTCTCGTCAGACGCAGCTCGAACAGGCTAGCACCACCCAGACACATCTCGGTGGCTCTTGAACGTTATACTCTGATAGAGGCTTGCAAAACTAAGCAAATGATTATAAATCATAACTAAAATGATGCAATACATTCTAGAATATTCTTACATAATTAATATGTCAATAAATACACGAAAATTTTACTAAATTTGCCAAAATAACTGTTGCATGGGACAGAAAACAATCAAAACACCTAGTTTACACAATTATAATACGAAATTATGCCTCGGCATAACAATATTATTCATTAATATCAATACATAACCCTGTAATGACCACGGTCGTACACGTCAGTTAACGTAAAATCAGACGATTCATTTTACGCTCAACAGCCTACAAAACATGTAGCTACGCTTTCTTTATTTGAGTCTCCCGTCTGAAGAGGCCGTTTTCTCATTGCTTCAGGACGCCTGAGTCTTCCGTTTTCTCTCAATCTTAGAGTGCACCTAAATCTTCATTATTCCTTAGTAATGACAGAATTTGAAATTGCAACTGTGGTTGTAATTGTTGACGCAACTTAGATATGTCTGATTTCAGTTGGAACATTCAAGATCCATTGTGAGTGATGTTGAAAGCTTCAACTGTCTTTATTGTTAGTAAAACTTGTCAAGTAAGTGAGTGTCAAGTCTGTCAGTATGAGTGGCATATCCTTATATCGTCTTTGAGGATAGCCATGAGTTTCCAAGTGCTACTGAAGTTAGATTATTTTGATGCCCAAACATCAGGGAATCTGATGTTTGGAGTTTAGTGTCTATTTAAGAAAGTCATTAATTTCCTGGAAAGATTTTGTCAAACTCAAAATCTCCAAGACCTAATGGCTCTCCTCAGGAAGAATTCCTTGGCTGTGGTTTGTGGTTTCCTGTAAGTAGAGTTATTAGTGCGTGTTTAACGTCCATTTCACCTTTTCCCGACAAACTCAATCTCTGATTAGATTATAAAAGTAGACATAAAAAATTAGCCTAACCCATGACACTGATTTTCATAGTTGAATGTACAGCGACCGAGTTGAATAGAATTTCTGTGAGATTAGCCTTTCTGGTATGTATGAATAGGCCAGAACTGCCCCAGGCTCACATATATACGAATGCACAAGGAAGAATCACACATTAGCGACTCTTCCTCAACGCATCTCCAGGTATGTGAACGATCGTTTCCCGCCGCCATGTTAAGTCAGTTTAACTCAGTCGATTTTGTGAATATCAGTGTTCATGTTTTAACATAGTGAAATAATCATGTGCCAAGTAATTTGAGTAAATTAATTGTCGTCTGTATTGCTGCCAGGTGTTTAGTTACAGACGTATAGTTATGAGTATTTGAGTTAGACATTAACGTTAGCGACTCTTCCTCAACGGCATCTCCAGGCCCTGTCTGTGTTGGCACCACTACCGAGGTTTGGTAGCCGCTTAAGGGCAAGACGGTCCTTGAAGGATGTCTTTAATATGGCGAGATAAGAATCCGAGGACAAGATTACCCAGGGAACGCCGTGAGGAAACACTGCACCGAGTCTACCCCTGGGCGCTCATTGCGAGCGAGCTTCGGCTGTCGGTGAAAACAAATCCCGCGAACAGTGGACTCAGTCTTGTGACTCTTGTCCGTTCCATTGATCTTGGTTATATGCATTGAGCAGTATTGGTATCTATGATTGGAAATTAATTAGCAGGAATATAGTTATCCCAAGTTAAGTATTGAACCCATGAATGTTGGTGTTACCAGTGGTGGTACCGATATAGGAATTGAGTCCACCAACCAGGTGTACTACCACTGAATGCTAGTTAAAGTGCCATGTTGTTCATTCCGAACTAACAGGATGTGTTTAATAATATCTTAATTTTGGATCTTGTTGAGTGAGTTATATAATCATCTGTATTGACGATGAAGTAATATAATGAGTGTGTAATGTTGTAATCAGGAAATGATCTATTTTGCTATTAATGTAAAGTAAGACTTAAGTGGTCCAGTCTTGTCTGAGTGTAATTAATTAACATCTTGTTCACTCCACCTGTTCATAA